ACGCACACAGAGTACATCCACTGGAAAACGATCAGCGTATAGAACTTTGTCGGAAATGCCTGATGAAGACTGGGGTGTACCAGATGTGTGCCTGCAGAAAACTGCTGAGGTGAGTCAATTTCCTACCACGACGAGGGCAAAATGATTGCTTTCAGGTCATGTATATCATGGAAATGAAGAACTGTCGTGCAGCTATGGGACAGCTGAAAGTGATGACGGATGGTAATCGTAACTGGGCCTTGTTTTCTCCGACTGACTCTCGCATGCCGAGGATGATGATTCCGGCTGATCAGTTACCGTCTGGATTCTTTGAGAGACCACAGGTAGGTTAATTTTTTTTATTCACTGACTTCAATATTTTTTTTCTTCCAAGTCCATTGTCTGGTCGTTTCATTCACCCATTTTTCATTCATGTGCTAATCTACGGTCGTTATCAAATAGTCTGCATTTGTAGATCACTCAAATAATCTACAGTTGTAGATCAATTTGATTTGTCTTTTTAACAATGAGAGAAATTCAGAAAAAGCGTTGGTATTCTCTACAATCTATTTTTGAACAATTTTTCTTATATGTCTTATACATGGTGTCCCACAAGTATGTATACACTGTTTGATCGTTAATATCTCTCTAAAAAGTCTTCCATCTACCTTCAGGTACCATTTTGTAGATCTGCCTTCAACTTGAATTTACAGTGTAGAGCGAATCCGCTATAGCTCTCCATTACTGTAGCATTACGGTAGGAACTTTAAACAAGGTTTTGAGCTATCAAGGGCCTATTTTACTCGTAAAAGAAGACGAGAGGGCTGTAAACTCCCACACTGTGGTAATCAGAGTCGCTGGCTTCAAATATGGATATTACACTTCGTCAGATTGTTTCTTTCACAAGTTATGACAGACATACCGTGAAAAAAGTTCTACCGTCTCCTTCAAAAATTCCGGCACACCGTTCAAAAAGCTCTGGGAACTCTTAAATTGTTGTCTATGAAAAACAGCATGCCTGAGATCCTCGTTACAAAATTTTCCAACTTTTTTTTTTGGAATTTTTTTGCAAACGGCCTATCTCACAGTGGTGCCATTTGCTGAGAGTTTCTACCGTAATCCTACAGTAGTGGTAAAGAGCTATGGCGGATTTGCTGTATACTGTAAATCTAAGTTGAAACCAGCTCTACAAAATGG